TTTTTTTTTTTTTTTCATTATTTCATTTTTAATCTCTCTTTTTATAGCAGCATCTGCTTCCTTGATGCTTACGGAACACGGATAATATTTTTTTACATTGAGCAAGCAACAACAACAACAACAGAAAAAAAGTTAATTAATCAAGTAATGAGAAAAAAAAAAATGAGAAACAAAAAATGAAGGCGAAAAGGGCGGCAAACAAAGTTGTCGAAGTCTCTGCCAAGGCACTTTTTTCGATCGGCTGCAAAATTATCGAATAGTAGTAAGGCTGAATACTTTGTGGCATGTTGCCAGGTTCCAATTCCGCAACTTCATTAAGTTAGCCTGCCTGGCTCTGTGTTGACCAACATAGGCCGACTTCATTCATCAACTGAGCATTATAGGTGGAAATTGGTCGAACATATTGTGGTACACTATAATTTCTCATAAAAATTTTATGCATTACAAACGTGAGAAATGTTTATACACACACATACAGAAAAAGTTTTTTCTGCACTTTTTTTTTGGAAAATAATTTTCAAAAAATTTTGAAAACTTTATCAAAGTGGGTAAACAGTTTGCTATATGTAATTTTTTTTTTTGCATCTATATATCTGTAGTCAACAAATTCTTAATTCAAACAACAAAACATTGATAAAAAAACTTTTATTTAACGGTTAACACTCAACACTTCTTTTAAAAGCATTTCCAACAACAGTTTTTTTGCACTGTATGAGTTCAGGGTTACTTTTGAGGTTTCACTACGAAATATAGACTCTGACAATTCCAACAGAAAAACTGCTGGCAAACTATACAGCCGACAGGTGCTTCGTCAACACGTTTCTTAGTCGTCTTTTCACGCACATCAACTTTTTCCTTTTTCAGTAAAAACTTTATTCACATTGCATGGCACCAGGTTACCGTTGTCCGCATTTCGAATTCCAACAACTAACTTCTTCCTTCATCTACCCGTCTGTTTTGGCTAACTGTAACGACTTTTTCAAATATTCTGATCATACAGTACGTAATCCATTAATTTATCCATGCAGAGCGAGTTTACAGCTTTCCCTGTTTCTATAACCTTATAGTTCTGCACCAGTTTGGAATTCTCCAGTTGCTCCGCTGATTTTTCACTAAATCTCCCTTCAAAGAAAAAAAGTGTTTGTTACAAGTCAGCTTAATACAATTAAATCACGGTTTTCCTTAGATTTAAGAACTATTTTTTAAATGTATCGCTAAAATTTTTCTGCAAATATATACTCAGTTTCCACTTTAACATATCTCTCAATTGCTGTAGCAAAAAAAAAAAAAAAATGTGCTTATTGTCGCAACCACCGACAGTATCAATAATTGAGAGATTATTTGCCTCCCTACAGTGTCCCCTTGTGGGAACTTATTCCAATTGATTGATATTATTTTCACTTACTGCGGACGACTGTGGTTGGCAACGTTCGCAGCACTCTTTGAAGACTGTATTTATTTGACTAATAGTGGACTGTCTCCTTTGTGGATTGATACCTTGTCAAACGCAACAGTGGTTTAAATAATATAATTTATCGATACGTAATAATATAATAATGATGAGAAAGGAATCGCTAGGCACAGGCCCGACTCCCTCTATACAAGCAAACGTTATTAAAATAAACCACCGGAATAATAAAATAAACTGCCAAATGAGCACGTTATAAACTTTAAATCAATAATCGGGCAAGAGTCAAAATCGTATGAAAAGCCGTTCTATGAAAACTCTGACAAAAACTGAAAATCCAAAAACACTCTCGTTTTTTCCTTC